AGTCTGACCTAAAAATTAAAATCCAACGAATGGTACCCGCAAACCTAACGCAAATTTGATTGTCAAACACTAAAGTTAAAAGTCAACCTAGAACCTAACCCAAAACCAAACCCAAAATCAGGTCCAATCCCCAAAGTAAGAAACAAAATCCCTACCCAGAACCTAACCCAAACACCAATTGCAGGGGTGCATTAAGCTATCCCCTAAGAGAGAATATAAAAAGCTACAGGGAACGGTCCACCCAATGTTTGTTAAGGGAAAAACCCGATGTCTGTTAGGATAATTTCAATACTCAAATTAACATTTTTCAACAATATTATCATAATATAAAATTATCATGCCCAAGATCCGAATCCATGAATGTTTGGATGGAAGAAAGATCAAAACAGTCTAAGATATCATTTAGGATGCAAAATTAAAAAGAAATTGAAATTGAAGCGGTGTAAATAACCAACTTACCTTGCAGTCACTGTCTTCATCTCTGCAAAATCTAGTCGTTGTCTCCGTGACTACATTCGAAACCCTTGGGCCGACCATGGTTTCCGGCAAATAGTTCACAGAGAGATGACCCAAGAGATTCCAAGTATAAAAGAGAAGATCAGATGAACGAATATGGTATCCTTGAGATTCCTTCATCGAAGAAGAGAAGACCTAATCGAGAGAGCAAATCGATGGCGAGACTTTTCTCCAGAAGAGAAGACCTAATCGAGAGAGCAAATCGATGGCGAGACTTTTCTCCAGAAGAGAAGACCTAATCGAGAGAGTAAATCGCTGGCGAGAGCCACCGCAGCCTCTCCGTCTCCAATTCACCCCGAGTAATCAAGACATAATTTTTTACCAATGCATGAAACTCATATATGGAAAGTATTACAACATAAATGGTAGTTTAATTATTTTACCTTAATGTTTTCCTTCCATTTTAAGTATGTTTTTATTTTTATTTTTATTTAAATGTTACACCATTTAGGCATTTAAATTAAATTAAATTAAATAGTAGTGAATCATTGGGGAGTTGAAGTATGGAAATAAAATACACTGGCATTTAAATATTAAAATAAAATTTAAAAATTACAAATTAATATAGTATGGGTTGGATTAAAATGATTTATTTCAAACAAACTATAAATTAATTATTTATCATTAAAAAATATTATAATTTACAAGCACAAACGCGTAAAAATGTTAAGTTTTCTAAAATAGATTAAAAAATAAATATGTACGGTAAGTAGATGATAACATTTAAATAAAATAATAAAATAAAAAACTACAAATTAATATTAATACTATAATTTAAAAGAATGGAAACGTTTTAAAAATGACAAATGTTCTTATTAGAAAATTAGAAAATAAATAGATATGATATGGTAAGCAATTAGCACCATTTAAAACGAAAATAAAATAAATGGTAAGTTTTCTAAAATAAATTAGGTCAGTGTTCTAATATAAAAGAGAAAATAAAATACTCCCCCAGTCCCCAATTTTAATACAAATTCCGGGTCACGGAGTAAAATTTCTTTCTTTTTGAAATTATTTTATTTACAAATTGATATATCAATAAGATATAAAAATTACATATTAAATAACTACGTCAAAAGTTCTACAAAACAAGAAGTGATAAGAATATTTTATTTTATCAAATACTTAATGAAATCGCGTAAACAAACAAAAGTTATCGAGATGAGAGAAAAAAATTGTAATCTATTTAGAGACAGAGAGAGTACATCTAAAAATGATAAGTGTTCTAAAATAAATTGGAAAACAATGTGGTTTGGTAAGTAATTAGTACGATTTAAATGCGAAAATAAATTAAAAAACTGCAAAATTAATATTAATACTATACTTTAAAAACATGATTTTTTTAAAAGGAAAGTGTTCAAATTAGAAAATTAGAAAATAAATACGGGATGGTATGTCACCACGATAAGCAAAAGGTACCATTTAAACAAAAAATAAAATAAATGGTAAGTGTTCTAAAATAATTTAGGTAAGTGTTCTAAATAAATTAGAAAATAAAATAATTATTAAAACGATAAGTATTCTAAAATAAATTAGAAAATAAATACGGTACGGTAAGTAAATGATACCATTTAAAAAAAATAAAATAGAAACTACAAAATAATACTATCAATTAATACTACAATTTACAAGCATGGTAACGTGTAAAAATGGTAACTGTTATAAAATAAATTAAAAAATAAATATGGTACATTAAGCAAATGGTATCATTTAAATGCAAAAATTAAAAAATTATAAATTAATACTATTAATATTATAATCATGGAAACATGTAACAATGGTATAAGTATTCTAAACTAAATAAAGAAATCACCCTACATAGCACTCTAACTCACCCTAAATTACGCATCTAGCACTACTCATTGTTTTTAACAAATTTAGCACTTTTTTGGGGTCAATCCTTTCCTATCATGCCCTTTAACCTTTTTTCTTTTTCTCATTAAAAATTACGGCACTCCCTAGGCCGCACGTACTCTTCTTGCGCTCGGCCGCACGTTCTC